AATGAAGACACAATAGAGTTTTGTGAGGATTAAATGAGACATGTAAAATCTTGGCAAAGTGTTTGGCATATAGTAAGGGCTCAATAAATAATACTAGTAAAAATAAGTTTTAAAAGAGGAGATAATGAATATAGAGAAAAGCAACTTTAAAATTTAAAATATATGTTACTGTAGTACTTTGATTAAAAATAATTGTTCTGTGTTTAATCTTAGTTCACACCCTGACCCCCTGACTCCCTTTATTTAATAGATTGTAAACAGTTTTCCTGCCTCCTGACTTAAACATCTAAGGTTTGTTCTCTGTATTGCCTTTAGATTATCTTTCAAAGACACAAAACTTAAATATTAAATCCCCTGCTTAAGAATTTTCAATAACTTCCTATTCCTTACAAAATCAATTATAGCCTTCTTTGTGTGTTAAATGTAAACTTCTACCACTTAGGTGTAATCTATTGTTCAGCCTTGTCCTTGATAACTAATTCTTCATACCCTATAATGGCACCCACACAACTGTACATGTCTTGTCCCAAATCTGCTGTGCTATTTCCCTTGCTTGATGAGTTTTCCACCTTCTTCACCTTTTTCTGAGAGCAAACACCCTACTCACACTTCAAGATCTAACACAAGCAGCAGTAAAGGCCAACTAACTCTAAGACAAACTCAGAAGTTGTCTCCTTAGTTTCATTCAATATGTTAAAATCTTAGGTTAATGTTGATTATTATGATAATTATGTTTTACTTGTGTGTAATGTATTTACAATGTGCAGCAGCACACAATGGAAATTATAGGGACATCAGGGTTCCATAGCTACTGTTCAGCCACTGATTTTGACTGTGTGACCATTGAAAACTTAATCTAAGTTTCAATACCTTCTTTTATAAAATCGGACAATATAGAACAATATATGCATCTATCTTCCTTCCAGGGCTGTTTTGGTAGTAAATAAGAAAAGATGTTGCCCCATCTACAATCCCAAGCTTTTTATCATTCACTTCCAGATCTTTGCATATGCTTCTCTGGAAGCATTATCCTTCTTCCCTTTCTCTGTCTCTGTCTGTCTCTCTCTGTCTGTCTCTCTCTGTCTCTCTCTGTCTCTGTCTCTGTCTCTGTCACTCTCTCTCGCTCTCTCTCTCTCTCTCTCTCTCTCTCTCTCTCTCTCTTTGGGGTCTGGAATTGATTCAGAAGTCAACTCCCCAAGTTCTGCTGCTTTTCAGTCTGAAGTAGATGCCCTGTCCCAGTCAATCTGTAGATTCTGGTGCTAATTCCTCCCAGAGTGCTTGAGCACCACAGTGTGATTCTTTCCTCATCTGGGGAAGGGAAAGGGATCCTGGCTTCCCATCCTTGTATTCCCAGTGTCTGACCATGAACAGACACTTGGACCTCCATAATGTTGTGAGTTCCTTGAAAACAGGGGGTCAGAGGTGGGGGTAAAGTTTATTCTTCTTTGTATTCACAGTACCTAGCACAATATCTGGCTCACAGGGTGTTTATCTAACAGCAAAATAAATTTTTTTGTCAACAGTGGCAGATAAGCTTCTTAACAAAATTTCTTCCCGTGCCCTTTTGTGGCATATGTCTTATAGCTGGACTTAAACTTCAAAAACTGAGTCTTGCTTGTCTTCTTTTTTATAAGCCTCTACCCCTAAAGCTACTTTTGGCACCTCCTTTACCAAAACAGAATTTCTATGTCCTTACAATAAAAATTGTCTCTCAAAGAAAAAGAAACTGGGTAAGAAAAAAACTGAGAGAGGTATTAAGCAGGCATTGATCTGACCCCAGTATCATCATT